ATTCCAAAGCTTCTCCTCTTGACCGCCCTTACGAGTTAAAGTTTCATAAAGCTCTCAAATATATTGTTTGGCCACTCATCATCTGGATCACTCATTGTGAATAATTAGCTGAAGTCCTGAAGTTAACTGCCACTAAACCTTCCTACTTCAAGATTAATGAATTATTAACAAACCTGATTACTGCTCCAAGCAACAGGAGTGTTGTTGAGCTGAACACCATGCTGGGATTGGCTTCTTTACTCATGGGCGCAGGAAAGGCCGGGACCCTCTTTTCTTCTCTCCCTGTATTCTTCTTATTATTTTTTAAAGATTTATTTATTCATGCATACAGAAGTAGGGTACAGGTTGAGGTGCAGGGGTTAAGAGAGGATTCACCAGAGACAGAGTGGGGAGCAGAACAGGCAGATCGACGAAGTACACTGTTGAGGGGAGCAGCGGGCGGGTCAGGAGAGATCTGCCGCGCCATTTGGGTCATCTCTGGGGCAGGGATTGAACTCATGCTGAATTGGCTTTAGCTTCTTAGTGCTGTGCTTTAACACACTGCGCCACCAGGGAGGGCCTCCCTGTCTTAATTTTGAGACTATACAAATAGTGAAATCACCAGGAGTCAGTTTTGATTTCTCCTCTGTGTCTAAGAAACCACTCCTTTCTTTTAAAGCCCAAGTTCAAAAGTGAACAAAGATGTAAGAAAATTAATTAAAGAAAGGGAACTAGAACAGCACTATGTGGAAAAAAAAAAGTACAAGTTTAAATAAAGACAGAAGGGGAGAAAGGCTCACACAGGTAGAGGGATCAAAACTGACTTCCTTATCTTTTCAGTATAATAAAATCCACAGGGTAGTCAACGTCCATAAATCCAGTTCCCTGAAGGTGGAAACGTAGGGTTAATTTTTTCTCTGTGTACCAGTGCACACATCACACACACACATTTCACTGTCAGCACTTAGCACTAAAAGGATTCTGGAGAACACAGCAGTGTGTAAGGGAGGGAAGAGAAATGCCTGTTGGAATTAGGGCACCATAGATGTGTATTTTCTATTGTACTGCTGCATCTGTTGGGAAATTTATCAGGCCTGTAAGTGGTGGGTAGGTGGGAGACTTCCTAGGAACCCCTGGTAACAGCCCTGGGCACCTTCCTTGGCACTGGTGACCATTTGGGTCTTCAGAGGCACTGGTCTATTGGATATTACATTTTTAGTTCAGCTCAGAGCTTTGGGCAAGTCAAGGGAGATGGTTAAAGGTCATGATTTACATTTTCCCCAGGAGATGTGAAAATACCCAGAACTACTTGTTTGTCTCACCCCTATCTATCAACCCAACAATTTCTACATTTTTATTTTGACAAAAAACCCCTGTAGATCGTTGTGAGTGGGGCTCTCACAATGTGTACTATCTTTTTTTAAAAATTATTTTTATTTATTTTTTACTTTTAAATTTTTTTAAAAGATTTATTTATTTATCCATACAGAAATGGGGTACAGGCCAGAGATGCAGAGGGTGAGAGGATTCACCAGAGGCAGAGTGGGGAGCAGAACAGGCAGATCGACGAAGTACACAGAGAGGTCTGCCAAGCCATGTGGTCACCTCCAGGGCAGGCGGGGATCGAACTCATGCGGAAGTGGCTTAAGCCTCTCAGTGCTGTGCCTTAACCCGCTGAGCCACCAGGGAGGGCCACAATGTGTACTATCTTTAAGAGGACTTAGGCTGATGAGTCAAGTCCAGGTCTGGATCCTGTGACCGGGTCATTAACTTGTCAAGCAATTTCTTTTTGTCATGCTTGTCAATTAGAAAGACTTCTTTTCCCCAAACCCACCTGTTTTGGAAGTAAAGGAATAGCTGGATGCTCAGGGGCCCTGACACATTCTGTGCACACAGCATGAGGCCTTGTCTATTTTCCATGTGACAATCCTCCCATCGGTGGGAAAAGCCAGGTTTGATTAATTGTCACTAATATTCCTAGACAACAGTACAGAAAGGCTAGGTACCTTTTCTGCACAGAATATTTTTATATACTACAATAAAGAGAATGTGTTTTATAGCTTATTCTATGTCATGAACCATATAGTACATTGAGAACCTTATAGTACATGACGTGCGATGGCCCATTAGTCATCACTATGTCAGTCAATTCAGTAGATCATGAAGAGTCTTTTTAATTTTTATTAAATATATTTATTTAAATATATATTTTACATCACTGTTCATTTTTCTATAATGTATTATTTTTCCTTTCAGGTATGGTCCCTATAGAATTTCACCTGTGCACCATCACCATAGTCTCTTGTGTTCTTTCCACCCATTTTGACTCTCCCTCCTCCTCCCTTGCTGTATGCCTCTGATTTATAGCTTTTCTGCTAGTTTTGACTCTCTCTTTTTCCCTTTCTCTACCTAATTGTAGGTTTCCCTACATACCTATATAGGAAATCATTCAATATTTTTCTTTTTCTTTCTAGCATAATTCACTGAACTTAATCCCCTCCAGCACCATCCATATTGCTGCAAATGGCATGAGTTTATCTTTTTGATTGCCAAGTAGTATTCCACTATGTATATATACATTGATGAAGAGTCTTAAGAAAATATCCCATGCAACAGCATGGACTCGAAGAAAAATATCAGAAAGCAGGGTGTATGGCAAGATAACTTGTTTTGTGAAATTGGTTGATAAAATATGGTTTCCCCAGCAGGTCATGGTCAAAAAATGTGACTGCCCTCAGATTAGAATATAAAGAACATGTTTTTTAGTCCAAAGTGAGCAAGGCAATTTAAAACTGGATGTCATGTTTGTCACTCAGGGACAGAGATGGTCTCTTACCCTGTTTCTTTGCTGGTGTCAGAAGGGGGCCCCTTCACAGCTCCTAGGGTCAGTCTCAGTGTGGTAGCAACCACCATATGGAATGTTCTAGAAATACAGATTTTGGGTCTCACAACAACCTATTAAATCTAAAACTCTTCAACCAGGGCTCAGTTCATAAATTTGTATCTCAACAACCTCACAGGTGATTTTCAATCACACTAAAACTTGCATCTTCTAGAATGTACACTGAGAAAATCAAGGCCTGACCCTGGGCTCTTTTCACCACTGTGAGGGTGACCTCTTAAAAGTTGCTTTTCTATGGAGTCCAAGGCCAGTGCTCTGGGAAAAGATGGAGGGGCAGATAGAGAGGTGAATCTCAAGAAACAGCCCTGCATTTTGCCATCAAATACTGGTGGGGCTTATTACTCTCACAGGTCTGTGATTACTGTAGGGAACATCCCAGCCCAGACCCTTCCCAGGTTTGAGTCCGTTGGAATCGATCAAGCCTTCTTCCCTTAAAAAGGCACAAATCTAGATATTACTGTCAAGTATCTGCATAAGTACATGCTACGGCGTGGACCGTGGCTCACCTGGGGATGCCACGGTCCCAGTGTGTCCATTCATTTCTTCATTCATTCACTTTTTCACCCAGTATTTAGTGAGTGCAAGGCTAATGCAGAGCCCTCTTGTTCTGAGCATAAAGAAAGGACCGAGGGACCCTCCCTGGTGGCACAGCGGGTTAAAGCACAGCACTAAGAAGCTAAAGCCACTTCTGCATGAGTTCGATTCCTGCCTGCCCCGGAGGTGACCACATGGCGTGGCAGACCTCTCCTGACCCGCCCGCTGCTCCCCTCAACAATGTGCTTCATCGATCTGCCTGTTCTGCTCCCCACTCTGTCTCTGGTGAATCCTTTTGCCGCCCCTAAGCCTCTGGCCTGTACCCCAGTTCTGTATGCACAAATAAATAAATCTGAAAAAAAAAAGAAAGGACCGAGGCAGACGCCAGCCAGGAGAGTTGTGGCTCTGCCCTTGATCTGAGACTCTCATGGTGCACTGAGGCCATCTCTCTTCCTGTGTCTGTGACAGAAAAGGCAGCCTTTGGCTGTAGCTGGAATGTGTCACTTCAGTGGCTAGTTCCACTGTTCTCAGAAAAATAGGAACTGAGAAGGCCAAGGAGGAGAGCGCAGCCACAGTGGAACACAGAGTATTTCCACTCCTGCAAAAGTGCCAGCCAATGGCCCTCCCTGGTGGTGGGTGCAGCGGGTTAGGACACAGTACTGTAAGCGAGCCACTGTGCTCGCTTCAAGTGTGAGTTCGATTCGCAGCCCCAGAGCTGATCCACATGGTGTGGTGGACCTCTCCTGTCCTGCCTACTGCTCCCCTCAGCAGTGTATTCCAGTCAATCTGCCTGTTCTGTTCCCCACTCTGTCTCTGGTGAATCCTCTCACCCCCGGCACCTCTGGCCTGTACCCCAGTTCTGTATGCATAAATAAATCTTTTTTAAAAAATTGTTAAGATCATCATAATGGCAATATTGCTGCACATTGCCTCAATTTTTTAAAAAGTCTCTAAATAACTTAAACCTAAGAAAGATTCATCCATATTCATGGTAGTGAAAAAAGAGAAGTGGATTATACATAAGATTCATGAAGATTCTCTTCCAATTTTGGTGTTTTGAGGGTTGGAATCAGCAACCAGGACTTTGCTTAGGAGCTTGTTAAACCAGCAGGCTCCCAGGTGATAGTCCAGCCCACTGGGTCAGAAACCGCTCCCAAAGGGCACCATGTGCACAACATCTTCAAGAAGCAGTGATTCATCCTCTCTGTGCTACTTCGAGAAGAGCAGCTAATTAAATCCATACACTGCATTTACAGATGACAATAAACACGAAAGGTTTTGGTACCAAAAGCACAAAATAGGAACAAAATGTTGGTACTACTTAAGAAAGTATAAAACAATTTGTGAGACTCATAAGAATAGGGTACAGATGACATGCGTACATTGACCTATTAAGGCAGGGTGTCAATTGCTATAGAATGAATTGAACAATCATAGAAGGACAGGCGAAATGTATCCTACCGTGATCTTGAGGTGAATCTCATTTTTGGTTCTCTCTCTCTGTAAATGGTTCTGTGCCTTCTGTGTTTGATGTCTTACACCCTGCCCACCACAGGCAGCCATGCCTCTCAGGATACATCCTTACCTCTTGGGGCTGTTGATACTGAGAGGCCATTAGAAGGAAAGCCCGCTGGGCCTGGAATGCGCTCTGCACCATTTCTGCCTGGAAACCAGAAAGAAGATGGGTGTTTAAATGCTTGAGCTCCAAAACAGAAGTCCTCATATGCTCCAGCCCTCTCTCCCCTCCCCCTACATATCTACCCAAGGAAACAAATATCCACACAAATACTTGTAAATGAATGTTCACAGCAACATCATTTGTAACAGCCCTTAAGTGGAATATCAGCTGATGCCTATGAATGGCTGTGCCCATCAACCGACGAATGGCTAACACAATGTGACACAGTCATACAATGGAATATTATTTGGCCTTGAAAAGAAGTGCTGATGTGTGCAACAACATGGGCAAAACTTAAAACATTATGCTGAGTGAACGAAACCAGTCACAAAAGACTACATTCGAACAATTCTGTTTGTATGAAATGTCCAGAATAGGCAAATTGACAGTGACAGGAAGTAGATTAATGGTTGTCATGGGCTGGTGGGAAGGAGAATGGGGAGTGTCTGCAATTGGGATGAGTCCACTGTGGGGGATGAATGTTCTGGAATTAGACTGTGGTGATGGTTTTACAACTTGGTGAATAGACTGAAAACCTCCGAATTGTATACTTCAAAAGAGTAAATATTGGAAAGATAGATTTGGACTTCAAGAAGTGAACTTGGTGTAGTTGACAAATAAGTTGATATTTAATAATGCACACCTGAAATGTGATGTTGTCATGCAGTGCTACTTCAGTCCAAAAAGAATAAAAAGTGAATATTATAATATAGGAATTATATCTTCCTTAAAGCACTCAAAAAATGTCTGAGCTCCAAACTGTTATGCCTTTCAAAGGGTGTCCCTCTGATCTGATTTCAGGATATCCAAGTCTGTGCCCGAATATCTCCAGTGGAAAGAAAATTGTGCTTTAAGACATTGCCATGAAGAGAGTAATTAGCTTCTGCAATTGATCAACAAAGTAATTCTGGAAAAGATCTCAGTGCTACTTGGGCTTAACACCTCTCACCTCTAATGCAGTACAAGTAGGACTGTCTCCAGATACAAAGTGCCCTTTTATCATTACCTCTTACTCACTACTAAGTAACTAGTTCTCTAATTTTCTAAACTTAAAAAGTTACAGAAGAGTACCAAGAAGAAAATCATTCCAAATAGCAGTTAATTTTTCCAGTTTTTAAGAAAATTCAAAGCTTAATGATGTAGAACATTTTTTTTTTCATTTTTAAAATAATATAGCAGTTTGCTAAACATGGAGCTTCCCTACGACCCAGCAATCCCACTCCTAGGTATCTACCCAAAAGACACAAAAACACTGATTGAAAAAGATACCTGTAC